AAAATCCGCAGATCTAGGTGTATGTGTGTGTGTGTGTGTGTGTGTGTGTGTGTGTGTGTGTGTGTGTGTGTGTGTGTGTGTGTGTGTGTGTGTGTGTATGTGTGTGTGTGTGTGTGTGTGTGTGTGTGTGTGTGTGTGAGCTCAGTTGTCACACCATGCGTGCAGGCGCCGACATCATAACACGTACGAAGTCCGCGTCACCATGCCAGCTACCAGGCTTTATTGAATTCAATTGAAACATAATCCGAAACAGTAACGCTGAACGACGACCATAGCACGATGATACAACAGTAAAACAAATATTCGTTTGCCAAGCTTATAATAATTTAATGAAAAACACCACCAGCTGATAAAAAGTGGAAATCGACCCCACAGCAGGTTGTCAATATGCTTACCGTGCTAGTTGTCACATTCGATTTGAAGTTGCGCGTACACGACAGAATATGTGTGTCGGACGGGAGAGCTTGAGTCCCTAATCCCGAAACTCACTAGAATTTAGAGACAGTGACAAAAAACACATTTCAATAAACATTTTTGTCGGAAACATTCGAGGCGTAGATAAAACCGAGGTAATCGTTCTCTGAAAGTGTCCTAAACATCTCAAAATATTTCCCCTCAGTCGTAATAATGACGAGAATTTGATAAATATATGCATTATACGGGAAACGTTCATCATTGTCTAGTACCCAACGTCTGTAAATAGAACCATGTTTCTACATGAACATAATTAACCAAGATAACTACACAAGTAAATGGTTAGGAAGATCGCCACGAGCGAGATAAGCATGTCATTACGACACGACAATTTATGTATGACGTGAATGACAATGAAATCATTGACATTAAAGAGCCCGGAAATGCACTTTGTTTTTATCAGCTCGCATCTTATGACTTATAGTGATTTAACAGCCGTAGTATGACTCATTTTTTCTAATTATTTTTCATGTAGTTGTCATAGATACCTCGATGAGATAATATTATTAATTGTTGAACTAGTATGAATAAGATTATTTATTTATTGCATGTTAGATTGAGTGTGGAACTCCTCAAATGCCCGACCAATGCCCAGTGGTGCCAGGTGGTGAAACACAAGAATATTCACGACATTAAAACGACACAGAGTGATTCAAACACATTAGTAACATTTATTAACTCATTCATATGAAATTATCGGAGTTTAGACAAAGCACGATTTCAAACTATCAAATCATGTATCACCAGATAACGGACATATTCAGAATGACTGGATAACAAGGTAATTTCTAAATAATGCCAACATTATGTACGAAAAAATCAATTGCAGTTTGATGAATCCGAAACTGGTTTTCATACTAGAAGACACTGTCAACGTTTTTGATTAGCGCCCTCAACGTTGGTGATCAAATCACGTGACCATATGGGTCCAAAGGTCTGACAAAGTCCACAAAGGACACTATCACACTGACAAGAATGAGGCGAGGGAGGGGAGCGGGGAGAGTAAATTATGATGAACAGTGAGATCCGCAATCATGAAGAGAGTTTCTTGTAGTCACAATAACTTCTTCAGTTATCAAATATCCTATCAGTGAGTGAGTGAGCAAAAGATATAAGTTAATTGTTTCGGAAAACTAACAATAAAATAGGAAAAAAGTAAAATGGCAAGCGTTCTGGCATCATGGGTTAAATACTGTAATAATTAAGGACTCTACAAAAAGCTTAACTGTTCAATTTATTAAGCGATACGGAATCGTGCCATTTAAATAATTTAAGATATTCACCGACTGTTGTACAATGATTTGAGTCTAAAAAAACACGAATATATTATCAACAATAGGGCATTAATTAATTATCAAAAGTGATTGATTTAACACTAAATGATTATTTACGTGTAAGGAAATGTAACATGCGTACTTATTAGTAACTGTGATTAAGTAGTGAAGATGTCATAATTATATTAAATGTGCACGATATAATCATTTATTATATCGTATTGTTTACAATAGAGGTAGGAACTATCATTCTATGTGTGTAAATACATTTTCATAAAATGGTCGAAACGTCTGATTTCAAATCGCTACCAACGCGTTAGCAAATGTGGATCGTGGTTTCAACTAGAACAATGAACGAAATGTTAGCCTATTTCCTGCCATCATGTGAAAAGTTTACAAATAAAATCTTGCTGTCAGTTCAATTTCACTTCTACAAACAAATCTGACACTAATTTTCAAATAACAACTCACACATTTCAATATGTACCCTTATTTTGCGACAAACTGTTTTTTTTTAACAAAATGGCCTCCGAATTCAGGAAGGTGTCGTGCTGATTAACATTTAAAATCTGAAAGATTTTGTTATTCTATGCTCATTTCCACTTTTTTCATGACCACAATATTTCTCTTGCAGCAAAATATAAATGTAAATTTTATCAGCTTAGTATTGATTACACAAAACAATAACTTGAATTTCAGAATGAATCACATTAATTGTAACTTTGACATTGCGGTCGTTTTCTGTGTATGGACATCTTTTTCCGTACGCATGCGTTCAACGTATTTCGCATTGAACTAGCTGTGAAGCGCCACAGTCGTATCACCGCGTCGTGTTTGAGCTGTGTAACATAAAGCGTATATAACGCGTGCAAAATACATTGTTTTCACGAAATCCGATATAGTATTGCAGGAGAGACAGGTTAGTTTTACCCTACTGATGATGGGCGTACGGCTGTGGTGCTCCAATTGATCGGGAACTAGTAGCATCAACATTTCGACAGGTCATCGTTCACTGTATTTACCTGAACATGGACATATTTTATTCAAAAGAACACATCTGAAAAAACAAACAAAAATAACAGCAGCTAGTGTCCCTTTTAATTTCTAGCAACATTCGTCAACTGTTTGGAATGACATCGATAACTTGTGTTACGTTGTTTTCAGACTGAGGTAGTGAGTTCCGATTACCACCTCCAAAACAAATCTTGTATTTCAATCGATGAAATGTGTGAATATACTGCAATGAATTTTCTAGAATTGTATCCAAGCTCATATGAGAGCATCCCAGAGCAGTACTTCCTCAAGTTCATACTACCCAGGAAATAAGTTGCGAACTAAGTTGCGAGGTTTAAAACCTGCTTGCGTCGATGATTTGTCCGACATTTGTTGAGTTGTATATTTGCAGACCGTGTTTGCTGTCGACGATGTTGTTGTTTGTTGTACTCATATTAACTGCTCGACTTTGAGTCGGGGACAAGAGAATACCTGTTGTGATCACAGAGGGCGCTGTCTGCGACGTCGGTGTCAATGGAGGCGTAGATTCACTTGCACTGCGCGGGGAAGGGATGTCCACGATCGTTTTTCGCGGCGAAAGACTTTCACTCGTTTCTGTTTGCGACGTTTCTCCGGTCGGAGATTCAGAACCGCTGCTCGGTTTTCGTTTTGCTTCCTCCTTCTTGTACTTCATTCGCCGATTCTGAAACCATATTTTGATGTGTCGCTCTGTGAGATTCAACATGGCCGCCAGCTCTATCCGACGAGGCCTAGAGATGTATTTATTAAAATGAAACTCTTTCTCTAATTCCAGTAGTTGACTTCTCGTGTAGGCTGTTCTGGTGCGTTTATTTTCGTCGAGATCTTGGAAGGATGCCCCTGAAAGACACAAAATGTAGATATATTGTGATGTAGCAAATCTAATGTGAGAGTCGTCCAGAAACGACATTGAACGTCTTAGCTACTAACTATTGCCCCCACTCTCTCAGACAAATAAACGAGGCGCCGTGTTATTGATTATTTGAATTGGTTATTATCACGTGACGTAAGATAAATATTGACCAATCTCATGCGAAGAAGCAGCTGCCATCAGTGTATTCACGGGATTCTCTGCGAGCGCATTTATTGGATGTACTATATATACATCCGTGTCTGGGACCCATGGGTGAAACTAAGCGACAGAGCGATTGCCTCCATT